AAAAAAAAAAAAACAAAAGAAATGAAAAAGGAGATATCGCAACTGATACCACAGAAATACAAAATATCATCTGTGAATACTATGAAAATCTCTATGCACATAAAACTTGAAATCGTAGAGGAAATGGACAAATTCCTGGAAACACACAAGCTCCCAAGACTCAAACAAGAAGAAATAGAATTCCTGAACAGACCAATAATTAGGAACGAGATTGAAGCAATAATAAAAAATCTTCCAATCAACAAAAGCCTCAGACCACATGGATTCACAGCTGAATTTTACCAGACCAAGAAAGGAGAGCTGGTACTTGCACTGAAGAAATTATTCCATAACACTGAGAAGGAGGGAATCTTCCCCAACTCATTCCATGAAATTATTAGGTTATTAAGTATGGAATGTCTGATTTCCTTAAGTTCTAAGTTTGACAGTTGATATATCTGACATTACACTTTGACACTTCTTTTTTTTTTTTTTTTTTAATTGTGAAGGTACACCCTAATTCTTTCAAACATACATTTTGGCTTGTGATTATCTTTCAATTTCTTTTTAGAGAAATTTTTGTGAAACCATGGCTAAGTCAAAAATTTGTGTAGTTTTTGAATCTGAGTTCCTTTGTGTAACCAACACAGCACAGACAGCTCAAAATATCAACGGAGTGTTTGGGAAAGATGTGACTAATAAACACATAGTACATAGATGGTTTGATAAGTTCCATTCTGGTGATTTTAATCTTGTAAATGAGCCATGTGAGTGACTTGAGACCAAGGTGGATTAATATGAGCTGAAAGCTATATGGGAAGAGCATCCATCTCAACCTATGTGTGAATTAGCTGCAAGGTTTGATATTACTATTCCATAACATTGGACCATTTGAAACAAATCTGCAAGGCAAAGAAGGTGGATAGACGGGTACCACATGAATTAAACGAGTGTCAGAAGAGAAATCATCTCAAAGCTTGCCTTTCTTTGCTGTCAAAATGTAAAGGTAAATCATTTCTACACTGTATTGTTACCTGTGATGAAAAACAGATTCTTTTTGACAATTGCAAGCATTCGGCACAATGGTTGGATAAAGATGAAGTGCCGAAACACAGTCCAAAGCTGAAACACAGTCAAATAAAGCTAATGATGTCTGTTTGGTGGTCCAGCCTGGATATTATCCACTAAAGCTTCATGAAACCTGGTCAGTAGATTACAGCAGATGTCTATTGCAACCAACTGGATGAAATGATAAGGATGCTTACGATTAAGCAGCCAAGATTGCTCAATAGAGACAGGTCAATCCTCTTGCAAGATGACATGTTGCAAAAAACAATGCTGCTCAAACTACAAAAGTTGGACTTGGAAACTCTCTGTTATCCACCGTATTCACCAGACCTTGCACCAACTGACTACCACTTCTTCCAGGCTTTGGACCACTTCTTGCAAGGAAAAAGATTCAATTCTCAAGAAGCTGTGGAAAATGTCTTTGGCGATTTCATCACTACTTGCTCTCCAGGCTTCTTCACTGCTGGCATAAGCAAGCTACCGATAAGACGGCAAAACTGCGTCAATAGTTTAGACACATACTTTGATTGATTGTACTGCTTCTTGTTTGAGACACAGTAAACTAAACTTTTGATTTGAAATAGGACATTTCATATTT